GGAACTGAGGATTGCAGAAGATGTACTGGGATACATATGTTGAATAAGAGACCATATGTGAATGTGTGTGTGTGTGTTTAAAGGCTGATGATGTATCCTTGATATGGAGCATGACTGATATCAGGGCAATTATTCCACCTCCGCTGCTCCATGGACACACCATGGTCCTCATGAACTTCTGCAGCTGCTATTTGGCTTAGAGCACCGGGATTGTGGCGCAGCTGGCTGAGTGTCAGCTGCATTAAGATCACTCTGACCAAAAGGTCATGAGTTCGAAGCCAGCCCAGGTTGGAATGGGTTTCCAACCAATTGTGTGTAGCCTGTTGTCGACCTTTGCAACCCGAAAGACAGTTGCATCTGTCAAGTAGGAAAATTAAGTACCACCTTAAAGTGTGGGGAGGCTAAATTAATTGATTTATGAGGCCATAAAGAAGACTCCAGCAAAGCATTCCAGCGGGGAAGCATGCGGGGAATGCGGAAGTGCTTCATCAGCGTCGCAGATGGACGATGAAAGCGACAGCTCCCCTGGCGGCCAGAAAAAAAAAAGTTAAATAGCCTCTGTATATGTTTGTATGTCAAAAATTGGCACTGAATGTTTGCCATGTATGTACACTGTAATCTGCTCCGAGTCCCCTGCGGGGTGAGAAGGGCAGAATATAAAAGCTGTAAATAAATAAATAGAGCAGTGGTTCTCAACCTTTGCATCCCCAAATGTTTTGGCCTTCAACTCCCAGAAATCCTAACTGGCTGGGATTTCCTGGAGTTGTAGGCCAAAACACCTGGGGACCCACAGGTTGAGATCCACTGGCTTAGAGGGAAAGCTGCTCTTTGGACCCATTATCAGCTTCCACTCTTGAGCTCAAACAGTTTTACAGAGATAAGTTTCACACAAGAAAAAAACAGAAACAGAAAAAAGGTCTGAAGCTGGATTAGCAGCTTCAGTTTTGTGTTTAAGGATATATGAGAGAGAGAGAGAGAGAGAAATACAAACAGCACTATGGATCTAATATGCCATATTTGACCTTACTTTATGAAAAACATACTATCTATATCCTTTTGGGTCACTTGGACCATTCTACAATCTTTGTCTTGTTGTCCCACCTTTCCACCATTTTTACTGTCGGAAGTCATAACTAGGGATTGGCAAATGGTTATTAAATTAAGGTTAGTGGCCATGATATATTTGCTAATGGGGAAATTTATTTCCAAGAAATTTATAAGAACGTGCTTTAAAGACTGCCATAGAATGAACCAGGTTTGATCAATCGCTGTCCCAACTTACAGCACATTTAAGTCCAACGGTGTCCAGAATCCATATTGCCAGGAGCCCCACGGGAACCGAAATCACAAGGAACACAAGCGAAAGCCAGTTGACTATATTCATTGTAGTTTGAAAATATTCAGCTGTTTTATCAGCCACTGGAGCAAACGTCAACCATTCCTGAAGGAGAGAGATAGAGAGTGGTGTCTGTATCATCTTAGAACAACACACTGGGATTGAAGTTGGAAATATATAGTATGTTAATGGTGACTAATTTGGCCCCTTAGTGACACCATGCTGCAACTCTATTCGAGCCATAGTAATATTTACTTCTGAGTAAGACTGTACAGTCAGTCTTGTATTGTTATTGCAATTAATTAATTAACTAATTAATAATATTTCAAATATTTGTACCCCACCCTTCTCAACACCTGGGGGGGGGGGGGGGGACTCAGGGCGGCTTCCAGCCGGCAACGATTCAATGCCTCCATGTGCACATAATAAATCAATAATTGCATACAGTTAAAACATTAAGTCAATTCAATTAAAACGTACTTAAATATAACAGCCTTGTGGCCTTATCTAGCCAAATTTTGTGGTCGGAAACGCCATCAAGCTTGTCCATAGTTCATTACCCTAGCAATAGTCATCATTGTCATTGTCCTTGTTAACATAATAACCTGAAGGCCTGGTCCTACATCCAAGTTTTTAACTTCCTTCTAAAAGAGAGGAGGGATGAAGATGACCTGATTTCCCCGAGGAGTGAATTCCACAAGTAGGGGGCCACCACCGAGAAGGCCCTGTCCCTTGTCCCCGCCAAGTGTGTCTGTGACAGAGGCGAGGTCGAGAGCAGGGCCTCCCCAGAAGATCTTAAACTTGGAGGTGGGGCGTAGAAGGAGATACGTTCGGACAGGTATGCTGGGCCGGAACCGTATAGGGATTTATAGGTTAAGACCAGCACTTTGAATTGGGACAGGCAGCCAGTGAAGCTGACATAATGGGGGGTGGTATGCTCCCTGTATGACGCTCCAGTGAGTAGTCTATCTGCTACTCAATTTCCATTCTGTTAGAGGACAACATCTCAAATTAATATGCATGTGTATATATACGAGGGTGGCTCAAAAAGGATTGTCTCCTGTGTCATAAATACGTTATGAATGAATACGTAACAGCAGAAGTTGCTACAGATCATAGCCTGAAGTTTCCTCTACATAAAACTACCATTCAACATAGTTGTCATCAATTTGTACACATTTGCACCATTGGTTAACCCAGGCATCAAAACCATTTTGGAAAAAATCAGGGTTTTGCTTTGTGACCCATGATTTTAAAGCTGTTTTAATGTCATTCAAGTCATTGAATCTGAAACTACGTAGATTGTTTTCACAGGTTCAAACAGATAAAAGTCAGAAGGAGGCAAATCATAAACATTCTTCAAGTGATTATGGATTTCCTTTTTTGGCCAGAAATTCAATGGCGACTCTTTCTTTTAGCTTCAGATTCACAGTTCTAATTAGTCAATGGGAAAAAGAAAAGAATTTGGTAGAGTGAAGAGAGAGGGGGCCAGGGGACAGTTCCATCTTGTCTCCGGCATATGTCATCAGCTGGGGACCCCTGCCCAAGCACCACCAGCCGCTCTGGGACAGAGTGAAGCAAGAAGGGCCAGGGGACAGTTCCATCTTGTCTCCTGCATATGTCATCAGATGAGGACCCATCCCTACAGCACCAGTTGCCGCTCTGGGCCAGAGTGAAGAGAGAGGGGGCCAGGGGACAGTTCCATCTTGTCTCCTGCATATGTCATCAGTTGGGGACCCTCCCCCAGCACCAACTGTTGCTCTGGGCCAGAGTGAAGAGAGAGGGGGCCAGGGGACAGTTCCATCTTGTCTCCTGCATATGTCATCAGTTGGGGACCCCTCCCCCAGCACCAACTGCCGCTCTGGGACAGAGTGAAGAGGGGGGGGGGCATGGGACAGTTCCATCTTGTCTCTTGCATATGTCATCAGCTGGGGACCCCTCCCCCCAGCACCAACTGCCGCTCTGGGTCAGAATGAAGAGGGGGACCAGGGGATAGTTCCATCTTGTCTCTTGCATATGCCATCAGCTGGGGACCCCTCCCTACACCACCAACTGCCGCTCTGGGCCAGAGTGAAGGGGGGGGCAGGGGACAGTTCCATCTTGTTTCCTGCATATGTCTCCAGCACCAACTGCTGCTCTGGGCCAGAGTGAAGAGAGGGGGGGGCAGGGGACAGTTCCATCTAGTCTCCTGCATATGTCATCAGGGGGGGACCCCTCCCCCCAGTACCAACTGCCACTCCGAGACAGAGTGAAGAGAGAGGGAGCCAGGGGACAGTTCCACCTTCTCTCCTGCATATGTCATCAATTGGGGGGATCTCCCTCCAGCACCAACTGGTGGTCTGGGCCAGAGTGAAGAGTGAGGGGGTCAGGGGACAGTTCCATCTTGTCTCCTGTGCTATGCTAATAATATAATATAATATAATATATTGTATATACATATAATATTTATAATATTATAATGTAATGCAATATAATACTACTACTACTAATTATAATGTATTATAATTATATATTTATATAACATGTAATATTACTAATAATGTTACAATATAATGGTATAGTACAATGTAGTAATATTTAATACTGATATTGTACTATGCTAATAACATAGTATATTGTATGTATATATATCTTGTAATCCGCTCTGAATCCCCTTAGGGGTGAGAAGGGTGGCATATAAATGTTGTAAATAAATAAAGTAAGTAAGTAAGTAAGTAAGTAAGGTTACCTCTATTCTATCATGTATAGGCAGTTTGGTGGCTGTGAAACAAATAAAAAATAGAGCAATGGAGGCATTAGTTTTTGACCCACCCGCATACAGTACAATTCCCTTACTCACAGTTTCTCCCATCTATCCACATCTAACAAAACATATCTTCTTTAAGAAATTTCTGAATCCTCCAGGTATTCTGTGGCATTATAAGGCAGTAGCTTCTGTCTTCCTGATAGTAGGCAGTTCTGATGAGGTTAATCATTTGATTCTCCCAGTGCTGGCTATTCTTACAGATGGGGCATCCCCATTCAATTGTCATTTATGTGGGAAAATGCAGCCTGTCATTGGTTTCTGTACACTGACTCTCTTTAATGTGTAGGCAAACTCCTGAAGCAAAGGCTATGGCTCTATAGACTAAAATGTTTGCCTTAATATGGATATCCAATCCAGGGTCAAAATCTGCATTAGCCTATTTCCCAATTGACTGTCAACGTGTTCCAGAGCCCTGCCATGTTCAACACGCTGACAAGCAAATCTGCCCCTGTTCATGGTTGATTTGCAGTCTCTCTCAAAGAGAAGTCCTCCGTGTCAAGTTGTCAAGAAGAAAGAACTCCGCATTGAAATTGCCAAAGGAAATGAAATTAATGAAGCCTTAAATGTATCAAAGAGGTTCCCTGACAAACTGACAAGGCCTGTCAAGCTAATTACAACCAGCATACGATAATCCCAGAGCGAGGGATTGCAGCACTTCCAAGTAGGTAAGGGGTTTGCAACATGTGGGGAAAAATCATCTTAGTGCAAGGCAATGACCTGAACAGTAACTCTAAAAAAGATCAGGCAGGCAACGATATTCGACTGCAGTCACCTGGAATGGCGCAATGGGTTAAACCCTTGCACTGGCTGAACTGCTGACCTGGTTGAAGAAAAAACTACTCACTTCCACCTGGGAGGCTAGGATACTCCTTACTCCTGCCCTGAGCAAAGATACTCAGAATTCTGATGCCTATCAGAAAGAATGTATAGCACTGCCTTCCCCAGTCTGCTGCTTTCTCCAGCCAATTGCAAAGCTTCTCCACATTTCCCTCCAGGCTGCTCCTAAGCTCTGCCCCCTCTAGGAAATGGGTACTGGATTATATTCTGCAGAAATGGTGGGTCCTTCAGGGTTGGGGTTGGGTGGTAGATTTAGGCAGTAGATTTAGGCAGATTGCATCCTCAGGGGAAGTAAACAGCCAGAGGATGCCTCTGTGGCACGCTGACTGAACAATTTGCTTCAATTGCAGTTTTGTAGTGTTACCAGTAATATAAACTGCACATGTTCACGCATGCATGGTGTGAAAGACTGGGGATTTATTCTAACAATCCCAACGCTGTACCACAAAATTGTAAAGCATCATTATATAAATTCAATTAAGTGTTTGGAGATTGTTGAGTTTTTGCCACCAGCATACTATATTCTGAAGTAATGTTCTGTGATCACTGGCTACCATCACACTTAAAAGGAATATTTAGCTTCTGGTTTGGCAAGAGGTTTTGAGTAAACTGGATTGTGCTGGATTCGAACTCAGGGCTCTGAACTCTGAGGTAAATATAAATAACACTAGGATTCTTTTAAAATGTCGCTGCCACCAATCTTAAAATTTTGTTTCTCCACCTGCTATGGAACTATTTCACATAGAGGCATTCTTGAGACAGTTGTTGTTTAACAAAGAACAAAGTTGTTTATTTGTGAGAACTTCAACAATACAGGCACTTAAGCTGAACAGTTGCAGTAATGAGTTGGAGTGTATAGTTACTTAAAAAAACATTTCAATATTTAATTCCAAAAACAACTCTTCACTCCCTCAGGAAACTAGGAGACTTCCCTCTGACTAGAATTCCTAGAAACTCCAGACAGTCCATTCCCTTGGATCTGTCTATTCTCTATACTAGCTATTCCCTGACTGGGTTGTTGTAGGTTTTTTTGGGCTGTATGGCCATGGTCTAGAGGCATTCTCTCCTGACGTTTCGCCTGCATCTATGGCAAGCATCCTCAGAGGTAGTGCCATAGATGCAAGTGAAACGTCAGGAGAGAATGCCTCTAGACCATGGCCATACAGCCCGAAAAAACCTACAACAACCCAGTGATTCTGGCCATGAAAGCCTTTGACAATATTCTCTGACTTCTCTTCTCCTAACACTCCCAAAAACCAACTCTCTTCTTCACCACACAAACCCTGACTCAACTTTTCAAACACCAGACCCTGACTGAGCTGTCAGATTTTTAAACTCCCCCTTACAGGCAATTTTTTTCCTGCACTCAAGCTAAGTTCCGCCCACTCTCTCCCAGCCAATTACAAAGCTTCTCCACATTTCCCTCCAGGCTGCTCCTAAGTTCCGCCCCCTCTAGGAAATG